GGGGTGGTTTTTCCCCCCCCCCCCTTCACCCCAGGACTGGGAAAACACCGGTATTGGAGGCGGGGGGGGTGGGGGTGGGGGAAGATTTTCCCTGATAAGGAAATTCCAAGGAGGAAAGTTTGCGGATGAGGAAGTGCCGGCGCTCGGGAGGGAAACGCAGCCAAACCCTTCCCGTGCCTCAGTTTCCCCCACACCCCGCTGCAGCAGTGACAAACCAGAAAAGAGAAAGGAGGGGGGGGATATATAAAAAAACCCTTAAAACCAGGAAAAACAACTCTTTAAGGGTGGCTCCTCCCGGCCGGGCCCCACCCCAAAACCTGGGGAGCGCCGGGAATTCCCGTTTGGGGTGGGATGAGGGCACAGGTCGCACCCCGTGATGGGGTCGGAGTCCACTCTGGTTGGGGCAACTCCTTAAAACATGGATATTTTAAAAAAAAAAAAACCAAAAAACCCCACAAAACCATATCCCTGAATCCCTATTCGTGCTGAAAAAAAACCTGGAAAAAAAAAACCAAAAAACTAAAAAATCCCAAATAAATCCTGGAGCACAATCCGGCCTCCCTCCCTCCCCCAAAAACGTGCTGGCTATTTTGGGGATCCTGGTGGCTAATTTAAGCCGGGGGCAATCGGAAACCTCGCAGCTGGGGGCTAAAATTAAGAGGTGGCTGCGGGGAAACCGGGGAGGGGACAAAAAAAAAAAAGGGGGGGGGGGGAAGAACAATAAAAGGAATCCTTGAGAGGAGAGTACGTGTGTCCCTGGTTGTCCATCAGCCTCGCTGGATGGGGGCTGCATCCCAATACCAGGAATGCAAGCCCATCATCACAGCTAGGGGCAGGGGATCAGGCATCCAGAACCCCAAAAGTTGAATAGATGCAGCTTTTGATGAAGAGTTGTGGATGTAGACAACTCCCCTAAAAGTTTCCTAAAGGCAGGGCAGAAGGCTGGTATCTGCGAACAGGCAGACTGCAGCTCATCGTAGCTCTTGCTGGAGAGTAACCATTAACCTTAGTGGATGAAGGAAAGGCTGTGGATGTTGTCTACACAGACTTTAGTAAAATCTTTGACATAGTTTCCCACAGCATTCTGGAGAAGCTGGCTGCTTGTGACTCGGATGGGTGTACTCTTTAAAAAAAACCAACTTGCTGCGTATCTGGTCCCAAAGTGTTGTGAATGGAGTTAAATCCAGCTGGTGACCAGTCACAAGTGGTATTCCCCACTGCTCAGTATCAGATCCAGTTCTGTTTAATGTCATTATCAATGATCTGGATGAGGGAGTCAAGTGGGCCCTCAGTAAGTTTGCAGACCACACCAAGTTGGACTGGAATGTTGATCTGCTTGAGGGTGTGAAGGATCTACAAAGGGATTTGGACAGCCTGAGTGATGGGTCAAGGGGAAT